GGCGGTTCTGGCTCCCACCCCGCTCTGCAAGGCCGCGGTGGAATGCGCTCTCGCGCACTGCCCAGTGCCGTCGCAAAAACGCAACCGAAAGCGAATGAGAGGCTGAAGCCGACATCCGCCTTGGCCGCCACCAGGCCCCTGTAGATCCCCACAATGGACCGCGCGAAGCGATCCGCCGAGGTTCGCGTCGCCTGGCGCGCGGCGCGAGCGATGGCAACGGCCGCGTCGCGCCAGGTGCTTTTGGCCAGGCCGTGCGCCACGCCAAGCTTCTCTGCCGGTGACAGCGCCGACGGTCGGGCCACGAGCGACTCCAACGCCACCTTGGGAGTCGGCTCGGGCGCGCGCGCGGCTGCTCGAGCAGCGGCCGGCAGGATTCTGCGGCCGCGTTTGGGCACAACTGGGGGCGCACAAGCGTCCGCAGCACTCAGCGCCAACGGGCCGAGGACAGGATGCCCGCCTGCTGCGCCCACCGCCTCCGCAGCCGCCGCGGCAGGCAGGTCGTCGGAGCTGCCGCCGAGGAAGTCCTCCTCGTTGCTCGCGCGGCCCTCTGCGACGGATGGCCCGTCGCCGCAGCTGCTGCCGAGGAAATCTCCCCCCCTCGCAGCCGCCGCAGCTGCTGTCGAGGAAATCCTCCTCAGAGGCATCGGCCATGGTGGCGATCGGCGCGAAGGTACATCATCGGGTCCAAATGGTTACGGATTGGGTGCAGGAGAGGGAGGAGGCAGGAGGGATGCAGAACGAGGGGGATGTTACTGCTTACCGTTGCAGTATACCGAACTGGTTGTTCAACTGGAAACGACCAGACGCGTCGAGATGTACAACTGCTGCAATGGTGGGGGGCTGATCCTTTTCAAAAACGAACTTTCGCCACTTCCCTCAACTTGTGGACTGTGCTTGTTGGCACTTGAAACTGCGCGGATGGTGGGCGGCTCCTGGGCGAGGGGGCTGACTGGGATCTCTGAGAGACGGTCTGAGCTAATTACCTGGGCAGGTGCGGGGCGGGTCAGCTGCCCCTTCGACCCCCCCTCTTCCCTCCTCCCCCCTTCCCTCTATCATCCCTCCCCCCTCCCTCCCACCTCCCTCCCCTCTTCCCTCCCCCCTCGCTTCCTCCTCCCTCCTCTCCCCATTTCCCTCTAAACTCGCCCCCTCCCCCTCCTCCCTCCTCCTTCACCTTCTCCTCCTCCCTCCTATTTCCCTCCTCACTTTTTACCAATGGAACTGGTGCGCTGCCACTCTGCATTCGTCGGAGATAGAGGATACTCGATGATCGAGCCGGGGGGGGGCCTGAGACAATCAAAAGCTTCTCGCGCCGAGACGCGGCCCATCAAACCCGTGCCCCGGCACTCTCGCGCCGTCCGGCGATCGACCAAGGGGGCAACTCCGAAATCTCACGGCCCAACCACCAAAACCCCATCAACCCCAGACCTCTGTGCAGGCCCGACTCGAAGTGTCAAGCCTCCGCGAGAAGATAAGGGGCGAGTCCAGACAGGGGCGCGCCCTGCGCGACAGAGCTGAGAACCGCCCTCTTGACCTTGAAAAAGGGCCCCGAAAGCCGCGCGCACTCAAACGGGGGCCATCGCCCGCTGGCTTCCTGCCGGCCGTGGTGCAGCTGGCCCGCGAAGGCGCCGGAAGGGAGAGCGCGCGGGCCCCGGCGCCTGGCGCGCGAGGCCGCTCCGACCCCCCCGCCTCCGCTGAGTAGGACTTGCGGTCGGCGTCGCAGCCGCGCGGGCGAGGGGGCCAGGACCTGCGGTTTCGTTCTGTCGGTGGCCACGTTCCCCGAGCGCCTCGCCGGGCGCGGCCCAGGGCGGTTGCGCGGCCTCGGCGGGCCCCTCGAGGGGCCCCTCTTGGATCAACACAGCATAAGCAACATCATGCATGTACTCGAATCGACCCGCATAGGCGTCGACCGAAAACGGTGGGCGGCGTGCCGCGAGGTCGGGCACCTGAGAAAGATCCAGCCACTGCTGCAGAGGGCTGGCGGAATCTACTCTGAACTCGTCGGGTGCCCTGGGGCCCCCCATGAGGGCCCTCCCCGCCCCATGAAGGTGGCGGGGGGTTGGTTCGTCAACCCCGTCCATGTGCAAGACGCGAGCGGCGCGCCTGTCCGCGTGCAACTGGGCGCCGCACGAGGGGGCCAGCTCTTGCAATCCCGCGTCCACGCTCGCATTCGAGCACGAGCGCAGCACCCGAAAGCGTTTTTCATATCGTCAAAACAGCGACGTGCTACACCCGAGCGCCGAACAGCCTCGGCTAGCACGCTCGCTTCGAGAATGGCGTTCGGGATGTGCCCGCGATCCGAATCCGTGGGCGCCGCGCGCGGCGCCGGGGTGCAGATGCCTCTAGAGACAGCGCTGACAAAAAAGAAGAAACGCTTGTGTCCACCGGGCATGGGAGTCGGACGACCAACCGAAAATCCGCGCGCGATGGGAACCCGCCAAATGTTCTCCTCCAACAAGTGGCAAGACTATTGAACCAACCCAGCGGGTGCGCCAGCTTCCCCAGCTCCCGCAGCTTCGATGGCTTCCCCAGCTAGTGGGGAGGGGCGCCCGCCGACCCGGGGCGGGTCCTGTCGGCTTACCGCAGCAGGCGGGCCCAAACATCATGTGCCATATCTCCCCAGACAAAGGCCGGGCAGGAACTGCGCGGCGGCGAGCGGCACGGCGCAGCACCCGCGAAGCTTTGCGCAAGTCCCTCTCCCCCAGCTCTTCCGGCGAACCCCGCGCCCCCCGCCCCCGTCTCCCGCGGGGCCCAGCTGGGCCGCGCGCTCAGGAAAACAGAACATGCTCACGCGCGTGGCCGAGAGCCAGCCCTCTTCGCCAGAAGTTCCGAAGGACTGGGCGAGCTCTCAGGCCGGGGCACCGCGTCGACGAACTGCTGCATAATTACGACGTTCGGGGCCCAAGGCTGCGCCCACGAGCCGTCGGCTGAAATGCTGCGCGCTGGCAAGAACGCGCCTGCGCCAACCTCCATGAAGGCCCTCCGTCCACGTTCTGCTCAACGAACGCGACCGCCTGCGGACCTCCCAACGGATGCGGTTCGTGTAAGCGACTCTGGGAGTCGAAGTGTACGCGAGGGTCGCTCATGTCGCGCAGGCGGGCACAGCAACGCACGTGGCGGCTCGCGACAAATCTGTGATGGCAGAGCTCCCCACCAGGCACCCTGCGAGCCTCCCAAACATGCTTCCTGGCAGTGGGCACCACACTGGACAGGAAGGAGTCGCGCCAGCATCGGCCGTGTCGGCCTCAAGATTGCCGAAGTATTGGGGGGCCCTGGCAGCCAGGGCGGTGCTAACCTCTTGAATTAAAACTCCCCTCGGGCATGGCATCTGGAGCCCATTCTCGCTCGCATCGATTTGCCAGGCCGTGGCAGCCGACTGGGAGTGCAAACTCGGAACGCCAACGTCTATCTCTATCATCACGGGGGAATGATCCCGCGGCACCCCTTTACGAGGAAAGAGCTGGAAGGCACGGGCCGCCTTGGTCATCACTGCTCCGAAACGCGGAGCAGGACGCCCAACGGCACCACGTGCTGGCCTATCGGGTTCAAGCTCTTCTCACCCTTACACGCAGGCGCGATCTCACTAGATGTAGTGGCGCAGCCCAAAAACAAACGGTGCAGAATCTCTCTCAATAGGTGGTCTAGTCAGTGGCGGACGGGCCGCTCAGATCCGTGAAGACAATCGGGGCCGACTTCTCGGGTGCCGCGTCCAACGGTGTACCCAACCACCCGAGAAGAACGTCCACCGCACGCCGCCGCGTCGCCTGGGTGCCTCGAGGTCCAGGAGGTGGAAGTACAGGGCAATGTCAATGAGGTCGGCCGAACCTGTCACACCGCGGACAAGACCAGCACGGCCCTGTGCAGCCACAAGGCCAGGAAAAACGTTGTACATCCTTGCTCCCAGGGTCGCGCCATCGGAACCAGATGGTGACTCAAGCCGCTCTGTTAGTGGACGCCCCATGCCGTACCCAAAATGCATGCAATCGTGATTTTCCACCCGCACCTGCTTCCGTACAGGCTCAGCAGGGAGAGCAGACGCGTGCCGATGAGAATCTGCACAACGAAGTGACGGGCAAAGGTGGCGACCTCCTAGCGCCCGCGAGGCTGCAGCAAACTGCACACAGTGAATCCGAATGCTTTGCAACGAATGGTACCCTGAGGGGTCAGCCTCTTGCAGGCACCGGTGAAGGGACCCTCTCGATCGTGAAGATGTCGATGGGCAATCGTCTGCCGCCATGCCGAGATGGGCCCCCTGAAGGTCGGCTCGACACAAAAAAGGCCAGGACGAGAGAGGAGGGAGAGAGAGAGAGAGGGAGACGAGAAAGAACATACTAATGCTAAGAACAACGAAGGGCGCTCACGACCCGCAATGAGCTGCAGCGTAGGACGTACATAACGATGCAACCGAATTTAGAGCACAACGAGACGCGCTGTTGTTCGAACCCTTGTTGCTGATGCTGTCGAATGCCGCCGTTCGCGGCTGCTTGATGCTGCTCGGAATTTCCTGCTGCTGCTTGGTGAAGTGCGCTGCTGCTTGACGCTGTGTGCTGCTGGTTCGTGCTACCATTCACAGGTTCTCATTCCGTTTCCACCTCGTCCTCCTGCTCCTCTTCTTCGCTGCGCCCCGCATTGCCGCTCGTCACTGCTCCTCTTTACTCACCGCCCCTCCTCATCCTCCAGGCGTTTCTCCCTAACCGTCGAAGCTTCTCGTCCACCTCCCCCTCCTAGCTCCTCATTCTCCCCCCCCATCGCACCTCCAAGCACAATTTGCAAACACGTCGGTTGCGCGGGCCTGCCAGCGCGAACCCCCAACACCGCTCAAAATCGATCCCCCGACCCTCTTCCTGGGTCCGTACTGCGCAGTTGTACATTTCAGATCGATGCTTGGCAGATTCGGAGCCCGAGGCGGACTTCCAGGGGCAGATCAGGCATCCTCGAACCTCCTCGCACCCAATCCTCCCGAGGACATGCCGCAACCTGCTCTCCTCTTCCGTCGCACGGGCCTCGTGGCGGCAGCGGGCAGTGGGCGGTGCGCCGCTGCAGCGCTGCGGCGGGCACGGGGCATCCTCAGGAGCGTGACGCCTCGATGAGAGCCGCAACAACACGGATCATCACGTCACATCATGGTGCGATGGGGCATTGGAATATGATGGGACCTCACGTCGATCATGCTTGATCGTCGGCGACGCCATTATCAGCATCAGCTTGGGCCCCCTGCGCAACATGTATGTATGCTTGCACGCTGCGAAACCTTGCCTATTTTGTTAAAAACCATGTCTGCGCTATACAAGCGTAGCGCTTCGGCAATCAAGAACGGGAGCTCGGCCGGATGTCGATATATCTTGCCCAAGAGGAGAAGTGAAGAGGATGGACTGAAAAAGGCAGAAGAGAGGACATTTTTTCTTGTCCTGCACAAGGCGCAGCGTCCCTGCTCAATTGCGCTCCACACGCTCAGGCCAGGCCGGCTCCTACTCTCCACCTCCAACGCCGTCGCCTTACCATCGGGAAAAACAAATCAGAAAGAAGGAGGAACCGAGACAATCCTGACTCTGACGACGGAGACAAAACAAATCCTCCCGCGAACGACCTCCCTAATCAATGTCCTCCTCCCCGCGAAAGCTGCTCATCCTCCCTCCAGCATCACGAACCGAAGGGGGGTGGTACGCTGTTGCCCCCACGTCCTTCCGGCACGATGTCGACCGTTATGAGGGCCTTGGTCTGCGCCGAAAGCTGAACGGTCACGGTGTACGTCCCAATGGCTTCAATCTTTGGAACCTCGATGCTGCTGATCCTGACCGGGATGCCGCTCATCTGGGTCAGCAACTCGCCGACGTTTGTTGGCGTGAGGGAACCGTATATCTCGCCATCCGTACCCTCTTTGATCCTCTTTGGGATGGTGAGCTTCCCGAGCCCCTCGAGTTGCTTCTTCGTCTCCAACGTCTTTGCGTTTTCCTGTCGCTGAACCTCCTTGTTCTCCTCGATCTTGGCAACATACTGGTTCTCCAACTCGGGGTCTCGGCGGACAGCGTAGCCACGCGGCAACAACCAATTCCGGAATCGTCCTCGCTTGACTGTCACGACCTGTCCCGCTGGGCCGAGCTTCTCATGATCCTTGATGAGGAGCACGTCAATCACCCCCTTCGTCTCCACGTAAATCTCGTCCCCGGGGGGACCCTCGCCAGGGCCTCACGGGGGGGTCAGAGCCAGGACGGCGAACACGGGGATGCAACTATAGGACGAATCGAGCAGCTATACAGATCCACATGCTTCCTCCTCCTCCGTCCCCCCCGTCCTCTGATTGCTTTCTCCCTCCGAGGTGGATCACGATAGCTGGTCTCTTTCAGTAGATTGAAGCCCATATCCTCGACACCTGGCCTCCTGAAACAGACATTGACCTCGAAGGCACACGCCGGGCCATGAATCCTCAATGAATCTCGACCTCCGAGGAAACCAACCCACCCGCCTCCTTCTTCTTTTCCCCCCCCTCCTCCTGCAACTACTCCTCTGCCATCTCGTTACCCCCCTCTTCTCCGCCGCCTCCTTGTATCCGTCGACGCCCGCTTGCCATGGGTGCCAAAGCGCGTGAGATGTCGTCCACCTCCCCCTGTTTCCCCTCCCTCGGAATCCAAGTTCTCGTTTGATGAGGTGGGGCTTCGAACTTCTGAAATGCCTCCAGGACAATCGGCAGCACCTCCAATGATCCACCATTGCATGAAAATGCGGCCCTGCGGCACGAGTAGGCCTCCAGTAGGGCGCCGCCAAATGTGCCGAGCTGGTCCCCAAGATGGCTCCAAGGTGGGCCTGGCCCCTCCCACGGAGGTCCACGGCGACAACAAAACTAAAACCAACCCATTCGACACTGAAACCGAAACTTGCCGAAACCGAACGGCCGCAAACAGCCCAAAGGGCGCAATGACGTGGCAGTAAAACCACCAATCAAACCGAACAAACCGCGTCGCAGCCGCACCGACCGAATTACGGACACCCGTGCAATCGGGCTGTTGACATTGCCTCCTGGCTATGATGGGGGGCGTCGCTACACGGGGGGGCCCTGCGCAAAGGCCCTCATCTCCATGACGCTCCCCGCCAAGGGCTACCTGCGCAGAATAGATGATCTGGCCATCGGGCTGGCGGATCCACTCCCACCAACAGCGACCGACACCATGACCGGACTGTAGGACGCGAGGTCCGGCTACACACTTGGACGCCCTGGTCATGGCTCTCGTGTCGGCACCGTTCGACCTCGAGGACCCCCTGGTTGCAGGCCTCCCGACGCACATCGAACGCTACGACCTCGCCTAGTCCGGCAGAGCCGCGAACTCTTAGCTGAAGAAGTAGGCCCTACCGCGCAAGATCATACGATCATAGGTGTTCGTCCTGACACTTTCTTCTGCGGCCACAGTGGTGTGGACCTGCCGCGAGCCTGCGGAAGTGCCATGACAGGGTGTAGCATAACAAGCAGGCGATGCAGGCTGGCCACTGCAAGTGCATAGACGTCCATGGTGACCAACTACCGAACTAATAGCGAAACACGAAGACGACCAAATGGGATCCTAGAAGGACGTGGCGGCGCAGCAACCAGCCAAATCGAATCGACCAAATTCATCTGACTGCGAAGCAGCCGAACCGACCGAACGGTGGACACCCTTAGAGTGTAGCCGTCGCCTCGAGTTGCTAAGCTGTATGCACCAAGGCCTGCTGGACCAGAAGTCGGTCGGAAGGCCAGCGCTCGCGCCAAGCCTCAGGCCGAACAAAGATCTCACCTCGAAGCTGCCGACTCTCAAGGAGGTCGTGCCGCCGACGGTCAACGAACGCCTGTAAATGGCCATGGAGGATGCCATGGACCTCCTCGCAAAGCTCGCAGCAAAGCTCGACAGGCGAGCGGGGGAACTTGCGGCGACAAAGCGCGAGCGAGCTGCAACGGCCGCCGCTGGCCTGCTTGGCACCGCCTCCATGTACCACTACGGAATCTACAATCGTGCTCGCTCCCCATCTCCGAGCCATGACCCGTACACGCTGTAATGTATCATCCCCCTCCCCCTCTTCTCACCGCCTCCGTCCTGCGCTCCTGATCTCGCTCCAGCCCCGACATCTCCTCATCCTCCCTTTCTCCTCCTGTCCCTCCTCCTCCTCCTTCTGCTTCCCATTCTCTGGCGTTGAGGCTTCCATCCAACCTCCTCCCTGATCACTATTTTGTTTCCGCCTTCCTCCTACTTCAGCCTCGTGTTCGTCCTTCTCATCCTCGTCGTCCTCTTCTCGTGGACGTCCTCGTCCTAGCCCTCAGGTCATCCTCCCGTTTCTGGTCCTTCTCACGTCCCCCTCCTCCTTCTCCTCCTGCCTTCTCCTCCTGCCTCCTCCTCCTGCCTGCTCCTTCGCCTCCGCATTGCCCTCCACGCTGTCGGCACCAATCGCCCCCGAGCCCCCTGGCCCATTCCCAAATCCTCTTACCTCCAGCGTCAATTGCCGGCGCGGCGCCCCCTCTACCAGATCCCCCACCTGGGCGGTGACTGGAAAGTAAGGATGTTTGCCGAGGAGGAGCCTAGACTTACAGCACGCCAGGAAATGTCGCAACAAAGGGGCGATGATCCTGAAGATTTGGGGGGGAGCCTCCGCGCCCCTGCCGCCGCAAAGGGGCACCCCTGGAGGCCTTCCCCCCCCTGCGCGGACCTCGGCCCCGCGGGGCGAAAGAGCCCCCCCCCCATCGGTAGAATATTTGACCGCCTCTCTCCCTCATGCCCACGTCGGCAGTACCCTCGAGCCCCTCTCCCTCTGGAGTCCCTCCATCCACCCCATGCTCTCCCTGGAAGCCCCCTTGACCCCGCCTCTCCCAGCGCCAAGATTTGACGACACAGCCAAGAGACGTTTGCCCTGCAGCGGGCCTGGGTTCTCCCACTGCCTCCAGGCGCGCTGCGCCACCGAGCATTCGCGGGGCCCCGGGCGGATGCCGCCACAGAACGCCGCTCCCGCCTCTGGGGAGAAAAAGAAAAAGGTGTTTGACTTGAGGCGGACGGGGAAGAATGCAAAGGAAGAGAAGACGGACTGAACATGCACTTTCAGCGGTCCGCGCGGACCTCCGGAAATTTTGAGTACAGGCGGTGTGGGGGCGAGCCAGGACAAGACCGCCCGCCACGTGTTTTGCTGTTGTGACGCCCTGATCTGAGGGGTGGGGGCGAACGGGACGAGAGCAGACTCGGTTACGCGAGAAGTCCGCCAGCCCACTTGCGTGGCTAACTACCAGGCTGCGAGGATCGGGTTTCAGCAACAAGTGCCAATCATAATTTTCCAATCGTACTCTTCTACTGCTTGTTTCCTACTGTAAATTGTTGCTGAACGCGCGATGGGGGGGGAAACCAAAAACCACCCTGACCACCAAGGCCTCCCAAGGTTCTCAGAATTCCCGGGGGTCCTGGGATACTTAGATGAGTTTCACGCCCACGGGGCTATATTTCCTTATAAGCTACACCAGATTCGCGCTCCCGACGCCAAATTCTGTCGTAATTTACGCTAGATTCGCGCCCCCACGGCCACGTTCCCATGTAAATTGCACTCGATTCCCGTTCTTGATGTCAGTGTCAATTCTGCATTGCATCAGGCTTGCGCTCCAGAAGCCAGAATCCATCGCACATTCCTCCAAACTCACGCTCCGGAAGTCCGATTCCTGTGTGAATTACGCCAGGCTCGCGCTCCCAAGGCCAGAATCTCTGATAAATGATACCACGTTCGCGCTCCCGAACGCGGAATCCCGAATCAAGTACTCCAAGGTCGCGCTCCCAGGGCCAGGGTCCCTTGTCAATTACGCCAAATTCTCGCTCCCGAAGCCAAATCCTTTGTAAACGATTTACGATCACGAAATGCATTGAATTAGGCTCTCTTTCCCGAGACCGGAATCCATAAGAAACAACGCCAGGCTCGCGCTTCCGAGGCCAGAGTTCCTCACAAATTACGCCAGACTGCATTTTGATACCCGATAGGACCACCCTACGGATGACAAGGAGGTTGGAGGGTGGGCAACGGGGAGGCGGTCGATTTGCGATTGCTCTGGGTTCTTTGGTGGTTTCTTCAACTTTCCGAGTGTCGCGCACATATGCCCATCTTCTATCGACCTATATATCGAAATTATCTGCTAGAACAACCATACACATATATATATATGTCTATATATCAAGGTATGTGTCTATGAGCCAGTAAATTAATCAAACACTACATAGATACATACATATAGATAGGTGACTATATATTATGCATGTACATACGGGTGCCTCCATCTCTGATTATATTTACTTGCGTATACAGATATATGTATACATACATATATATATATATGTGAAACCTTATCTTCCTATCTCTCTATATCTGAATACACGTGTCTATTTGTCTGTATGTACACACACATTTATATACATACATATATGCGTATACACACACGTCGGCAAGCCATCGGGACAACCATCGGGACAACCATCTAGACAACCCCATCGGGACAACATTCAACAACACATATAAGCATATAGACACACATACACACATACATATATTCCTCTTCCTATATTTTTATAAGCCCGGGCGGGGGGAAAACCCGCCCCCCCCCCCCCAAAAAACCGGACTCCCGGGACCTGGGGCTTTGGGGCCCTCCGGACGGGCCTCGAACAGGCCACTGGGCATCGCAAGGCGTTTTGCCAAGCCTTCCCAGCACACTTAGGGCGATCAGGGGGGTCATCGGAGACGTCCCAGAGACCCCCAAGACAGCACAAGAGCGCTCCAAGAGTGACCGACGTGATCTCAAGATGGCCCAAGAGGCCTCCAGGACGGCCCCAAAGAGGCCTCCAAGAGCACTTCCAAGAAGGCCCCCCCTCTGAGGCAAAAATCATTGATTTTCTGTGGGTTTTTGGCGAATTTTGGGGTTCTCTTCTTCGGCATCCCGACGCTCCAAGACGGCGGTCTTCCGAGCGTCCGAAGCCGCCAGGGAGGCTCCCAAATCGCCCCACAACCATCCGAAAGGGCTTCCAAGCAGTCCAAGAGAGCCCCAAAACGGCACAACACGGGTCCAAGATTGCCCTCAGAGAGCCCCATGGCGGCCCAAGATGGCCCAAAGACACCCTCCGAAGAATTCCAAAACGTGATTCGGTCGTTCAGGGAGACGGCGGTTGGAGGCACGGTGGCCCGAGGAAGCCCCCGGAGGCCCCCAGAATACGCCCAGGAGGCCTCCAAAAGGCCTTAAGAAAGCCCGAAACAACTTTTGTGAGGCCCCTAGAGGCTCTCCAAGGAGGAGCCTCCGCAAAAAAGAGCTGAGGAGGATGGGGAGAATGCGCAGAGTATGGCGAACATAAGGAACAATAAGCGTGGAAGAAAGATAACGAATAACATCATTATAGCGGCGATGCCGGAAAAGGCAACCAGGAGTTATCGCTAAATTGTCGGCTTGACCTTTCTGCCATTCCGCCTGCATTCCAAACTTCAAGGACCAAGGCGCATGGCGCGAAGCGCCACTGCAGTCTTGTTTATATATATACATACATACATACATACACATATACATACCAACCATCGGAACATACATCGGGACAACCATCGGTACAACCACTGGGACAACCACAACCATCGGGACAACCGGGAGCCTCGCCCGGCGCTCGGGGGTGGGGGGGCGGCCCAATTGGCAATCTATGGCTCCGGTGCAAAAACTTGGGCACCTTCGCCTCGCCCGCACTCACGGCACGAACCGAAACCGATTTCCCGGTTGGGGCCACCTTCGCTCGCACCCCCCAACCTCCGATATTCGCTACCCCGAGGCCAGGTTCCCTTGCTGCAAAGTCTTGACGTTTCGCGTATTCCCACCAGCCCATTCAGAAGCAGGTCGGCCGTCGAGTTGCCTTGATCATGGAAGAGTGCAATGTACCAACCGATTTGGGAGCGTTTCCTGGGACGACCATTGGGGGACTCGCGGAGCCTCTTGGGGGACTCTCGGGGAACTTTTGGGCTCTCTTGGGACCTTCTTGGGACTCGTTGGGGGGGTTGGGGAGGTTTCTTGAGGTCTTCTCCGCCCCCATGACTCCAAATGAGAGGCGGGTGAGGGAATCCCACCCCTCCCTCTTGGGAGCTTCAAAAATTGTGTTTTGGAGCCTTCTTGGGGCGTTGTTGGGACTGTGTTGGGGCTTCCTTGAGTCCCTCGTTTGGGTCTCTTGGCCCGTCCTGGGGCACTCGTGAGGCCTCAAGAGCCAAGAGCCTATCGGAGGCGATAAATGCTAGAAGACAGATCATACGGTTCCCCTGCGATGTTTGAACCAATTTGGCCCGTTGAGGGTCCTTGGAGGGCTCGGAGGGCACTTGGGACCGTCTTGGGGTCGCTTTAAGACCTCTGAGATGTGCGTCGGGGGCTATCTTGAACAATCTTGAAGTACCTGGAGCCATCTCGAACGCCGTCTTACGTTCCCAGAAACCTTGTTGGGGCCATGTTGGGCCATCTTGGACGCTCTAACCCCTCGCCCCCCCCAATCCCAAGTCCGAGGGTGGGGTGTGGGGTGGGTGGGTGGGTGGGGGGGGGGGTCAAGCTACCCGCCCACCCGCAAGCCGTCTAACTCACTCCCACCCGCCCTCTCAACACTTAAGTAACGCCCGAGCCTGAGCATGTTCAGCGGCCGTCTGTGGCTGGGCATCTATTGGGAACCCAAACCGACCGCATGTACGCGACGCTGGGGCGAAGTGCGCCAGGCGTGCCAGGCGCGCCCCGCGCGCCCGGCACCCCTGGGGCCCGAGCGTGACAAGACAAGCACGTCAGGTGCGCCAGATGCGCCGCGTGCTCCGCGAACGCCAGGTGCGCCGCATACTCCAGCCGCGCCATGTGCGCCACGTTCGGGGCACGCGCGGGCGCCAGGTGCACCTGCGCACGTGACAGCGCAATTAGGGAACGCGTCGGTCCTTGCAATCCTCGTCAAAAACCAATGCCCAGCATTGTGCCTGGTGGGCCTGCGCGCAGCAAACCATGCGCCGCCGCCCCCGCCGTCCTTCTCAAAAACCACTTGACAATGATCGCGGGTGGCCGCGCATGGTCCAGATTTTATCATCCGCCTGAAAACCATGATGCTCGGCGAAGGTGGAATTGAATGGTGGTGGCGAAATATGGGTCTCATCGCGCATGATGGGTCTACCAGATGTGCTTCTTAAAGTCAACAATCCGTAAAGATGGCATGCCGGAGTGGGGGGTGTGGAGGAAAGGGCAACGACGAGGCGATCCGACTCCCCATCGCCATCGCGCGCGCAGGATGCGCGCACCGTCGCAGCTTCAGTCAGTCAGCTCGAGCCAAAGACGGGGCGGCGGCGAGCGCAGGGGGCGAGCAGGGGGAAAGCATTGACAACTGCCCCGCGGCGGGTCGCGCAGGCCGCGCACTTCGATCCCAGCCCGGGAGCGCGGCGGTCTCCTGGCGCCCCCCAGGGCGCATCGGCCCCCCCGATGCCAACCCCTCCAACGCGTTTGCAGCGCCAAGGCCGGGGCGCCGATATTCCGCTGGACGTTCCTTTGGCCATGGGCGAGGTCGGAGCGGGCCGACGTGCATCGCATGCTTGCCTGGGCCCGAGCGAGAGCGTTGAATCTCTCGTGCAGGTATTTTGCCGCGATATTCTTCTGCAAGCAGTGCCGTGGCGGGTGGGCCCCCGCCGGCATTTTGTTCATTCGCCTCGGAGAACGTGCAATGTAATTCCCGCTGCCGTCGTAAACGATGTCGCAGTCCTCCGACGACCGCCACTCCCGCGTCCTATTGCCATTTTCAACAGTGCTCAGGACCAGCAGAGTGATGATTGCGATTCCAGCGATCTTGATACTGACCACGCGGGTAGTTGTTCTGCGTCGAGTAACTGCTCGACGTGCGGCGCTCCGTCCTTTGTACTTAGCCACGCCATGGCGGCGTCGTTGCGGGGATAGTCGGGGCCTCGGCGAGCCTCGACGCTCCGTCGCGGCCCCTGCCCCCCTGCCCCGGCGGCGCCGCAGGTGAGTTCTGCCGGGGCGGCGCGCGCGCCCCGTCGAGGCGGGGGCGCCCGTCGGACACGGCGGCCGCCGCGCCCCCCCCGCGCGGGCGGCGCGGGAGGGGGGGGTGAGGGGCAGCAGACGCAGGAGCAGCAACCGAGTCATTGACCTCCGTGTTCTAGGATTCATCTCCCATCGGATCTGGCAGGGCTGGCGCAGGGGCCCCTCCGACTGAGTCTGTCGCAGGCTCCGCGGCAGGCTCTTCCGATGGGCTCGGAACGACTGCGTTGTGGGGCGATTCTTCTAGTGCCACATCGGTCGTCTCAGCGTTCTGCACCGCGCGGTTCGCGGGCACCCCGTCGCCATCTGAGCCGACGTCAGCGAATCCGCCACCGCCAACATCAACGCAGGATGCCGACAGTAATTGCAAGAGTTTGCAGCCCATGTCTCGCAACCAAGCGAGCCCGTACATCGCGGCGCGCACCTTGTAGTGGCTCTTTCCAGTTGGTCCGGATGACGAAGTCTGCAATCGCGTTCTGGATGGGCCAGGGGGCTCGCGCGGATCTCGGTCTTGAGGCTGGGCCCTCCAATCCCAGGATCGCTGCCTCCAATATTGGCGGCGCTTCTTACTTTAATCCCTCCGACTCTGTTGCCGGCAAGGGCCGGCTATTTCCTCGGCGTAGCCCCCCCCCCATTTCTCTCGATTGCGCAGCGGCGGCGGCGTCTCCGAGGGGTGCGCAACGCTGCGTCAACGGATGGCGCATTCAATCGCGTGTTCTCGAATTACAGCATGACAAGAAGAGGCTTGTAGTCGGGCAGTTCAGGCTCGATGCTCCCCAGAAGAAATCGCCGATGAGTTCGGCGATCCCTTCCGCGACGAGTCCTTGATCGACTTCCCCGTCGCGCGCGGGGTCGGCCCCCGTGTTTCGGTGCGTGAACTTGGCCGTGGTCGCAATCAGCTCATGTTCCGGAGTCCTGGCCAATATTACCGCCTCTGGGTCGACCGCCAGATCGACGCTCCTTTGCGGGGAAAGTCTGGGCGAGAGGGCGCCCCGCAGGAAACCGCGGCGCATGCGCCCAGTGAATATCTCGGCCAAATCCGTCGACAGTTTGGTTTTCTAAATATCGCATTCAAGCTCTCCTTCGAAGTCGCCGCCGGTGTTCGGCGTCTTTCCAGAAACACTATGCAAGGACCTTCGTCAATTTGGACTTCTGGCGCGTCCGCGTACTCGCGGCCAACGATGTACTAGTTGGGGCGGCTGGGCCCAAAAATTAATCGACCGCTCGCGTCTCTGTCTTGGAATTCTGAGCAGTGGCCGGCAGTCCCCTCGGGCTTTCGCGTTCCTGATGGGATGCTCGAAGCGAAAGTGAATATGGTTGGGAATGTCGGGCAAGCAATTATCCATCCTAGCTGCGTAGTCACTCACCAGCGAAGTTGCAGCTATGAGATCCTTTCCGCCCGCCGTGCGGCTGCGTTCCCATGTCTGCCATCCGTCTCGGCGCAGCCACGCTGTCCTCCTCACTTGGCCAGATGAACGCAGAGTGAGGGGGGGCGTGCCATCGGTGCCTCCGATGGGCCTAAATGCCTCCATCCAGATGATGGGCCACCAGTCCGCCTCTCAAAAATATGGCTCAGACCTGCAATGTGGAATACTGTTAGCTCCCTGAACCCCCTATGAGGGAAGCATGCGCGTGTCGTTGGCAAAGCGAGACGCGCTCGCCATCGACTTTGCCATGCTCGAACCATCAGCGAAGCATTGTTCCTGATGCTTATGATGCATCTTGAGATGGACATTGACAGTCCGCAATGAATTATTAAGTCCTACGCCCATGTCTTGCGAAGCGAGGGAACTTGGGCACGCCCCGTCTGGGCCCGCAATCCATTTGGAGGACGTCTCGCTTTAAGGCGAGCGTTTACCGAATCAGTCGACGACGTGCCATGGAATGCGCGGATATTCGCGCGAACGCATCCTCATTCGTCCGCGCGCGGACGGTAACTCGCGCGCCAGTCACAAAAGGCACTGAACGCTTCATCCGTCCGTAGAAAAGCTACAGCGAGAGGTGGGTAAAAACCGTTTTCTTTTTGTGTCCAAATAGAGTCGTGGATTTTCTGCCACGTCGCGGGGAATGAGGCGCCCTGGCGATTGCCCATTGCCGGCGCGGGCGCAGAAAATGATCTGGCCAATGTCTGCCCACTTGGTAAATTATTTGAGCCATGAAGGTCATTCTCTCCTTGGGCATCGTCGAGCCATCATGGGTCATTCGACGCCGGTTGACGAAATGCGCTGCTTCCTGGAAAAGCATGACCACCCCGTTCCTTCTTGTAAACCAGGCGAACTGCCCAGGTGTTCCCAGCGATGGGAGACTCGATGACGCCATCCAATTGGTTCTCTGCCCTCCCGAAATGGCATTCCAATGATGGCACCGCCTCTACGCTGGCAGGCTGCCCCGATTAACTGAGCCAGTCTGGGTGCGATTGGCAACTTCAGGGGGGGGGGGGGGGGGGGGGGGGCATCTGTCGCGATAGGAAGGAGCCTGCATATGTGAAAACCAGGGCAAGCAAGCAGCCCTATATTCTTCTCAGCTATGCTGATGTCAGAGTGCAATCGAATGGCAGCGTCTTCTGCAATGACGCGCATTGAGACGTCATGCTTCGGAGACGTGTCATGTTAGTCATATGTGACATATACATTCGATGCACGTAGACAGTGGGAAAGGAATGTCCCGGCATAGCTCTGATCAGTACAAGGCAGGGTAATGCCAGTCCGTGCGCTTCTGTTTCTTCTGGAATTAGTTCGTATGACCTATTCCAATTGTCGTCGACCATGTCGATCGCGTCGTAATCGACCACGTCACTGCCGCCGGCGGGAGCGTGGAAGAGTGCATGCATCGCAGGCGGAGGAGTGCGACAATGGTATCCGTCCACCATATCTAGACAATCCATGAGCATTGCAAAGTGGCACCGCCCCCCGGAATTCAGAATCGCGCGCAAGGAGCGTCGAAACAAACGCACCATGAATTCGCCTGACAGTTTGGCTTGCGTCTCGCCTCGGCGCCCAATAATCCTTCTCGCCAGAGCCATGGGCTCTTATATCCGGGGGTCGCCCGACTTTGAACGGTTCGAGCACCTTCAGGATGGGCTGCCGATCGCTCTCGAAGATCTCATGCGACCCCCACTTTGCGCATATGCGCCGCGATGCCTGCGGGTAGTCCTCGTCTGGGAGATTCGTCGGCAAAACCCAAATCGGGCCCTCTTGGAACTGTGTCATGGCGTGAGGGCATTGGAGCGCGTGGAGTCTGAGGGCCATAAATTCGCAGCCCCTAAATCAGATATTTCGCAGGGGGGGGAGGGAAATCTGCCACTGAGACGGTGCCCGTCGGTTCAATTAGCTTCTGGTTCATGGGATTCATATGTTTCGGTGCGCCGGGGACCTCATGGCTTCGGGAGCCCTCGCGAGAGCGGCGGATTTCTTCGTCGGCGGGGGCAGGCCTTTCGCAGGACTCAACTGTCCGCCTGGCACGGAGGCGGGATGGCAAGCATCTGGCGCGAAGGGGCCTCACAGGGTCCGTTTTCGCGCGATGGTTTCCGCCTGGCGCGGGGGCCAGGGATCAGAAAAATCCGTCCTGCGTCGGCTTGGAATCGCCCCCGTCGGAGTTGCGTTGATCAAAATTGGGCTCCCATTTCCCGGCGCTAGAGCGCCATGTGTCATATGTCGTATGTTTCCAGCCTGGGTTCCACGTGTCCGTCTGCTGCTGCTGCTCGCCAGATCGCCAGTCGTTGCGACCCCAGGCGGAAGCCTCGGTCGCCTTGGAGTCCCAGGCGTCTGACGAGCCCCACGTCGCCCCGGACGCCCAGCTCGACTTGTAGCGCCGTGGTCTCTACCCTGCCACACCACGTCGTCCGTCCAGCTGTTTCTCTGCCGCCAGCCTGGCCCGCCCTGGGACGCCCCGAAAGGTCCTGTCCCGGCTTCGGCCGCCCTCTGGGTTGGCTCTGACTCTCCTTCCAGCTTGATAGCCAGGTGTGTCGACCTCCTTCCTTGGGCCCTCCTGGGCCAGACTGTGTCGACCTTCTTCCATTTGTCGTCGTCGCTGTCCTCGCCAGTCGGCTGCCGCTGGGCGTTCCCTGACGATTCGCACGCCCGCGCAGCTTGAAAGAGGGTATTTGCCAAGCCCCGCGCAACCTTTTCACTGAATCCGAAACCTTCCTGTCGTAACAGCATGTCCGTCACGGCCTGCACCGTGGACTGTCTCCCATCATGCGTGTGTCTCGGGTCCAGATTAACATCGGCCCTCTCGGCTGCCATCCCGGTCCGCGGATGCTGAGCTGCTCAAAGCTCCGCTACCACTGTCGCCCCACGGACGACAGCGGGGAGGATGAGGATGTCTGGTTTTCCACCTCCACGGGCAGACGCACTGCACAGTCCTGACAGTGCCGTTCTGAGCAGAGCGGTCGCAACACAACAGGTGAGAAAGTATGGGGAAAGGGGGAACGATAGGATAGTATGTTTGGGAAGTGATGCGGAATGAGTAGGCGGGTCATGAAAAAATGGTACGGGCCCTTCAGTCATGACCTTCAACTTCAGGGAGTCTAGTTATACAACCCCCATTACCAACGAACGGGCCTCTAGACTTGACTATCACACTGTGACTGATTCTCATGGTTGGCGTGCCACAAATGGTGTTATGGAGCGACTCAGGACTGCCAAAGCGCAGCATGTACGCAAATTCGGGTATCGATCTCCCCAAAACAGTTTTCTAGTATGACCCTGGATCTCCAAGACGGACCAGTCAGGTTAACTCGTGGAACTGAAATCCTGGAAATGGTGTTTTGGGACGCTTCAAGATGTTTACACGGTTGTCCCCCAACGGGGCAACTCCCTCAGTGGAAATGACCCCTTGTATGGGCCTACGGTGATGGATATTGGAAGGAGGGTGTATGTCAACATCGTTCTGATGCGTATTAAGATTGCACTGGCCCTCCTCATCCTCATCTCCCTCGTGCCGCATTCCTCCTACACCTCCTCCTCCTCTTCCTCCTCCTCCTCTTCCTCCTCCTCCTCCTTTTCTTCTGTCCCCTCCTCCGCCTTTTTTGTGTTTCCTCCTTTTCCTCTCTCTCCTCCTCTTACCCCCGAGACGGTCCCAAGCGGCCGAACCTGGCTTAAGATAGCTTCCGGCCGCCTTCCAAGAGGCCTCAAGGCAGCCACAAGATGGTCCAAGATAGCTGAGCATGGCTCAGGATAGCACTCCGACAGCCTCTAGCCGAACATTGCTCACGATAGCCTCCAAGAGGCTCAAAGAAAACCTCCGATCGTGTCTGGATGTGCTGGTGGGGATGTTTTCCGCCGCGGCCACAAGTGAAAGCGCAGGCGGCGTCCGAAGTCAGCCCGGGCTACGAGCCAAACCTAATTACCTAAGCGCGCGAACTAACGGCCGCCGAAGCTGCCGCCGAGGGACGCCGAGGAGCGACGCCGGGGACTGAAAACAGAGCTGCAAGAGGTGTCAGGTGTGCCAGGCGGCTGAATTGCAACCGGTTCAGGGGGGAGACCACCTGGAAGGCAAACGAATTGTACCTTGTCGCGCCAGGCGCCAGAGGTAAACGAGCCACCCGAGCTAAGCACGGCAGAACGCGGGGCTGAGAAGGCAGCCCAGCGTACCTGTGTCGCATGCCAACAGCGGCAACCTCAAGTGGTTGAACAAAAAAGCTAAACCACTCATGGGCAATCCACGTGGAGGTGCACCCTACCATTGCAATGCGGCACCTGCAAACACGGCCAGGCTGTGGCAGTGTCTGGGGACCAGGGGCCAGGAACATGCGAGCATGCTAGCTGGAGCTGGTCGACATGCAAATCACCGGGACGCCAGGGTTAAGTACCTCACCAGGCTCAAAGGAGCCAGGCTGGTGGGGATACGCGAAGCAAAACGGATTACGCCAGGCTCGCGCTCCCACGGCCAGAATCCTTTGCACATTACTCCAGATTCGCGCTCCCGAAGCCACGATCCAGTGCACATTACGCCAGGCTCGCGTTGCTGAAGCCACGACCCCTGGCAAATTACGCCAGATTCCCGCTACGAGAAGGAAACAACGCGTTTAACAGCACCTCCAACATCTCACAGGGCTTGCTGAGTGCCAATCGCCCTCGTATGATGGTCCCAGAAGTATTCAAAACAGCGGCGACACGTCCAAGATCAGCTCTGACATCTTCCATTCTGATAGAGAGGGGGCTGGCGACAGAGGGCGAATCCTTTACGCATAACGATCGCGATTAATTTTGAGATTCTCAGGTTTTCCTGGTGTGCGGCGCCATAAGAAACAGATGGCCAGAAACAAATGGCCGAGTACGAGTGGCCGAGGACTGCTAGAAAATCTGAAATTCCAGAACGTCTCTTGAGCCAATCGCATCACGACAATTTTGCCGTCCTTCATATGGCAAGTAACTCTCATCACTCGGTATCGTGTGGTCTATCCCCATCCCCAGTTGGTAAGTGTTCATTCGCTCCACCAACCTACCCCCTCGAGGTGGGGATGCTTATCGCGTGGGGACGAGGATTGTTCTGACGGTGCTGAACCTCGATGATCATAGCAGTTGCAACATGACCATGAGAACGCGGGTCAGGACCACGAGCCCCTTGGAGCCCCTCGCCGAATGCCCGAAGCCCCTGAGGACCGTGTGTACAACCTGAACGAGCAACACGCCCAAGCCGGGGGGGCCACTCTCGATCCCTGGGCCGGCCGTCTGGCAGGCACCCCTTCCGCCCCCAGCTCCCTGGCCTTGCCGAGGAGCGCTGGGGCGCCGCCCGCCGCCGCCGCGAGGAGGGCGAGCGCGGGCAGAGCCCCACCACGCAGTCTGCGCCGCAGTAGCGGCGCGCCCATCGGGGCGAAGCGGCGGCCCATCGGGGCGAAGCGTCCGCGGCCGCCCGTGCAGCGGTTGCACGCTTGAGCCGGCATGGTGGGAGGGAGCGCGCTGTCCGCGCCAGTCCTTTCCTCCCTTGCTTCTGTATGGGCAACTCCAATACCTCTTGCTTTTCTGAATGCTCATGCCCAGCACCGCTTCGCATTATGTGGCCACAAAAATCCTCATGATAAAAACCGTGTGCCCCAACATCGAGTCGGTCCAAAACGGAAACTTCAGAAATCGATCCGGACAGTCCAAGTGGTGTGAGAGTGCGAGGTGAGCGGCTTCCTTCTATCCACGCGTCGGCTGCATCCTTGATGCGACGGCAGGGCACGGGATCCTTCCCCTTCCCAATACCTCTCCTCGCCTACCCGTCCCCTTCCATCGTTGCGCTGCGAGGGTGTGATAGGGGCGTTTCCTTGCGGTGGTGAATGCGCTGCGATGATCTGCGGAGTGGGGCGCAAGTGGATGGGTTCGTCAAGTGCAACACCACCTTGACGGCGCATGCAAATCCTGGCACGATGGTCTTGCTCTGTGAAAAGGCGAGGTCTGGGGGCGCCTGTGAGAGCAAGCGGACAGGATTAGAGAGAGAGAACTCTATATGCAGTTGAGGATAAGAGTGGGGTTGGGAGTGGGTAGGGCATCGGCAGCCTGCCAGGGCCGAAGAACACGTTGAAGAAACCGCCACAAGCGCCAATTGATTGTTAAAGCAACGTAGGTGAGTCGCGGGCGGATCGCGGGTGGGCCAACGGCGGGTCGCGGGCGGGTCGCGGGTGGGTCGCGGGTGGACCAAGGAGGGGGACGCCGAAATCAACAGAACAACACAACAACGACAAGAATCCGCACCGCGGATACCCGCCTCAGCCACGCACCAGAAAACAATGCAAAACCGCTCGCCCTCCTCATTCTGGCATAGACTATCGGAGATCCGCGCGGATGTATTGAATGGGTGCTTGACCCCTTGGCGCGCGGAGCGAGCCAGGGGCGTCGCCAGCGCCGCCATGTGTGCCCAACGCCGGCCCAAGAAACCCGCGCGGACCTCAACCCATCTGTTTCTGCAATTCGTTGCTGCCAAACCTCCGTCGAGTTCTCGTTCCCGACACTCCTGTATTAGGTTCTCGGCGTTGTGAATAGGAGCACTGCGGTCGCACACCTCCTTCTCCCGTCTGCCGCCTCTTCCACCCTCATGCATCATACCTCGCTCTTACCTGCTGGCTGAGCTGCCTGCCTCTCACCTCGCTTGGGGGTTCGTCGGGATGGCTGCGAACTGCGACGCAATCGCCACATTCGAAGGCTGCTGCGGGGCGGGGCATCATAGTGGGTACCGATCGCAGAGTCATGGAGACCGCAGCATCTCTGGAGCGTTGCGAGTTTCGACGCTACGGCCGCCACTTTTGAGGATTGTTCGGGGGGGCAGAGTGGTGGGTACCGATCGCGGACTTAGACTCGACATCGCCATCCCTGGAAAGAAAGGCCGTGAATTGCGAAACGTTACCGCTTTCGAGAGCTGCTCGTTTATCCTCGCCATCCCCGGGGGACTGCGAACTGCGAACAGCGTTGCCACTGTCGAAGGCTAAAATTACCCTGGCGAAAGACCCAACCATACGCAAGTGTGAGAACCGCAAGGCAAGTGGGACGAAACAAAGGGAATTTCCAATGGGGCCACGAACCGTATGAGTGCGCCAGAATGGAGCGGGGTCGCCATGCGAACCCTGCCACTGGGGCCTTCGGTGGAATCACCTTTAGGGCCACGAACCGTGTGAGGGGTGCGCCAAAATGGAGCGGGGTCGCCATGCGAACCCTGCCACTGGGGCCTTCGGTGGAGCTCCCTGTGGGGCCACGAACCGTGTGAGGAGTGCGCCAAAATGGGGCGGGGCCGCCATGCGAACTCTGCCGCTGGGGCCTTCGGTGGAACTCTCTATGGGGCAACGAACCGTGTGAGGGGTGCGCCAAAATGGGGCGG